CCCAAGAGCGATCTACATCTCCATCCCCCTGGTGACGTTTGTCTACGTCTTTGCCAACATCGCCTACGTGACGGCCATGAGCCCTCAGGAGCTTCTGGCCTCCAACGCCGTGGCTGTGGTACGTGTCTGCCTGCCTACCTCTCTGTCAATCCGCTTGCCTGTCTGTCTGTCCCTCACAGTCCCTCTGTCTGCCTCTCTTCCTGTCTTCCTGTTTCTCTGTCCCTGTCTTTCTGCTTGTCTTCCTGTCTCTCTGCCTGTCTGTCCCTCTATCTGTCTGTTTCTCTGCCTGCCTGCCTGTCTCTCTGCTGGTCTGTCACACTGTCGACCTGCTGAGAAAAGCATTCCTCAGTTTTTGGGACCCCCCCCACCCCGTTATCTAGCAGGCCTCTGTCGGAGGAGCTTGCGTGTTTCATGCTGGTATCTGTGGGAGTGGCTGGCCTCCTGGTGGTCACACACAGTACTGCAGTTTGCCTTCCCATGAGTGCGGGTGAAGGGTCAGGGGTCAACTGCCCCTCTGCTCCACACTACTGCCCCACCACTCAACAGTGCTACTCCACAACCCAGTTGTGGGTCAGTTGTCCGAGTGTCTGTGTGGCCGGAGGCTGATTCTCCTCTCCCTCTCCCTCCCCCCTCTCTCCCCCCAGACGTTCGGTGAGAAGCTGCTGGGGGTCATGTCCTGGATCATGCCCATCTCCGTGGCTCTGTCCACCTTCGGAGGAGTGAACGGCTCCCTCTTCACCTCCTCCAGGTCAGACACAATTCCACAAGCTTTACTGGCATTACGGTGAATTCCCATCTCAGTGTTGCTAACGCACACACAATCAACACAACATCTACAGACATGTTCTACACAGACACGTTCTGCATGTCGTGACTGGGAATCGAACAGGCACGCGCTTACTCCACTGTACCAGAACGTCTCTGCACCTCTGTCCATCTCTCCTCTCACACTCACTGTTCAAGTCCTGTAGAGGCCAGTCAGTGTGTTGATATCAACCCCCTCTATCTTTCTCAGGCTGTTCTTTGCAGGAGCAAGGGAAGGTCACCTGCCCAGTCTCCTGGCCATGATCCACATCAAACGCTGCACTCCAATCCCAGCTTTACTGTTTACAGTGAGTCTGCCTGTTTTGATTTCTCTCTAATTTAGGAGTGTCTCTAGGGTCTGTATTAGGGTCTGTATTAATCCCTCTGTGTGAGGGGTGTCTCTAGGATCTATATTAGTGTCTGTATTAATCTCTCTGTGTGTTAGGAGCGTTTCTAGGATCTATATTAGTGTCTGTATTAATCTTTCTGTGTGTTAGGAGTGTCTCTAGGGCCTATATTAGGGTCTGTATTAATTTTATTGTCTCTCTTCTTCAGTGCGTCTCCACTCTTCTGATGCTGGTCACCAGTGACATGTACACGCTGATTAACTACGTCGGCTTTATTAATTACCTTTTCTATGGCGTCACTGTTGCCGGGCAGATCGTCCTGCGCTGGAAGAAACCAGACATTCCTCGGCCAATCAAGGTGAGCCTGTTAATGTACTGGAGTGTCCAGTCAGTGTGTCTGTAT